GGAGGGAGGCGGAGCTGTAGTCCCGGCGGCGGAAGGAAGAGAGGAAGAAAGGGGCGAGCCCGGGCAGCCGGCGGCGGCGCGAGGCTCTCGCTCGGTGCGCGAGCGTCTGTGTCCAGGCGCTTGGTTTTCGGGCGATCAGGGTCGGCGTCGAGCTCTCTCTGGGGCCGCTGCCGCTGCTGCTGTTCTGCTGGTGCTTGTGCCGCTGCCGTGGGTCTCGGGCGGCGACAGAGCGGGGCCGGCCGCGGGGCGGGCGGGGAGGGAGGAGGTGGTGAAGGCGGCGGGCCGGGGGGGAAGATGCCGCTGGCGCAGCTGGCGGACCCGTGGCAGAAGATGGCTGTGGAGAGCCCGTCCGACAGCACTGAGGTGAGTGCAGCCGGGTGGCTAGGGCCGGCGCGCCCCCTCCCTGCGTCCCTGCCGGCTCGCTCTCCCGGAGGAGCTGCCCATTCGGCCCCTTCTCCTCTGCTCGGGTCTTTCCCCCCCGGTTCAGGATTCCGGTTTGGGTTGTTGGGGTTGGTCTGTTTACCCGTCTATCTATTCCTCCCACTCACACCCTCACCTCCTTCCCTCGCTTTGGGGTCTGCCGGTGTGGTGGCGCGTGGGGTTTGGAGTGGGCGCTGAGGCTTTGCAAGAAGCCGATTTTAATCAAGTTGCGTGGGGGAAGCAGGAGGCTGAGCGGGGGCCGGCAAGGAGTTGGGAAGTTTAGCCCTGCCGGGTCGGGGGCTTCCAGGACCTTGGAGACTTTGGGGGATGAGAGCGGGATATGGGTTAGGGGTTCAACCTGGAGCTGAGACTCCAGTGCGGCCGAGGGAGGAGGTTGCCGAAGTGAGACGCGCGCGCGGGGGCAGGGATAGGGGTGGAGACCCATGGGGGTTTCGAGTAAGGGGTGCAGGACTGCCGAGGGTCCCCCACACACACACCAGTAGTCTGCCACAGCGCTTTCTGCTGCTGCAAAGGAAAAAGTGGAAGCCTCAGGTTCTCCACTCCCTACTCCCCATTTCTGAGGTCGCTGAATCCGAGAACCCCGTCCCTGCGAGTTTAACTTGAGTTTCCTGTCCGTGGAGGTGAGCGGGTGATCTTTCAAGGAGATCAGCGGCCGCTGTAAAGGGCTTTCTGGTTTTCCTCGCCCGGGATCTGGTGACCGTCCCCAAGACACCCACCCGAGTGTCAAAAACTCAAACAGTATACCCAAAAGGGACAAAACAGAATTTCCCCGGACACATCACAGCATTGCGCTTTTCGCAGCCGCCCCTGTCCCAGAACCAACTTGGGGTCTGCGAAAATAATCCAGGGTATCGGCGCTCCTCTCCGGAGTGAAAATCAATTCCTGATGGTGGCAAGTCTGTGATTCTTCCTTGTCGACTTTTTGCTGCCTTCTATCCTCACAGCGGACTTCGGGGGATTACAGGCTGATAGGCTGCGTGTGTGTAATAGTTACGGAGTTAGTGACCCCATTTCTGGAAAGCATGACTGAAACGCGGGGGTGGAATGGGGCAGGCTCTGCCCTGCCGGCCTCCAGCCTCCGCAGTGTGAGAGGTGGATAGGGTTACTGGTTACGTCAGTAAAACCAAAGCTCACTTTGCCCTGAGATGCGGGACACTTGCGTTCTCGGGTATGATGGAGGGGGAGGGGGATCAGTTCAAATCGCTTTTTCAGTTTCTCCGAGTCACCTCTACTGCTATATAAAAATATTAACTTGTTCTTCTTAAGGCAGGCAGAGTTGGAATAGTGCTTAGGATTGATTGGTGCTTGATATTTTGCTACTTGGATAATGCTTTTTTAAAACCTAAACTAAATGGTGTTCTTCAATAAGAAAGATATTGATGTGCTACTTTTGAAAAAGGAAAAGCAGGAAAAAAAATCGTATTTTTAAAGACTGGCAGAATTATAAGAATTTCATTTAAAATTGTTAGCTAATACTAATACTGTAAATCTATAAGACTACAAGAAAGTCAAATTTAGAATGTTTAATTATCCATTGAACAGCATGAAAAACGGTGTGCCAGTGGCCTCTCTTCATTTTTTCCTTTAGAAGAATTTTTACATCGAAAATACAGCTTTTTACGATTAATAAAATGTTCTCGAGGTGCTAAACTTGTGAAAGAAATTGAATTAGCTTTGAGCCTGATTTTTAGATACAGACATTAACAATTGCAACTCAAAAGTAGTTCACATTTCTGCTTGGCGTGTATCAATGTGTAGGGGGAAGCCATTTAAATTTCCACTTTATCTTTTTTCTATACAACATGCATTTGAATAAGGAAGGTGCAAAACTATTACTTATTCAGCATCTACTATATGCCAGATAACAGTGCTACTCATGCTATTTGATTTTATCCTTCCTATGATCCCCGTTGTTACAGATTAGGAAACCCAATTTAGTAGTTAAGGGCACAAACATTATAAATAATTAAAGGCAAAGCCATAATTCAAAGCCAGATGAATACAACTCATGTGGTTTTACTTTATGTTAAGGTAGCTGCTTCAAATCTTCTGTGGATAAATTCAGGGTATAAATATACCAGTAGTTAGAAGTCATGTATTTTTCAGAAACAAAGTATTATAAGTGATCACATTTGGTAAAGCCATGCTGTTTGAGTAGCTCATGTTTTCCAAAACCATGCAGATAGGATTCCACAATTTGCCATTTCAAAGAATTTCCTTGCTATTCTGTCATAAGGTTTGTCAAACAGAGCCAGCCCTTTGCCTAAATTTATTAAAATTAAGACTTAACAAATCGCCTTTAGATGTTTTAGTTCCTTTGGTTGTTCAGCTGTTTCAAGTTACTTCTGATACAAGTTGGAAGTATTGAAGCCAGGGAGGGAGGGGTTGAGAGTTTTCACTCATAGGTCCACACTGATAACCATTATTATGCCATCTCCTCCCCCAGTAGATTCAGATCAGGGAACAACTGTGTATTACCAGAGTGAGATCCTGGGTTTTTTAATGGGCATTTCCTTAAGCAAATATGCCAAACTTTTTCTCTCCATACTAAAAGAGTTCAGGGTTGATCTATATAGGCATTTACATTTATGATTTCATCCTTAGTAGACTGTGAACTTTTGAAAGCAGAGATTTTTTTTTCTCTCTCCAAATCTGCAGCATTTAACACAATGCCTGGCACAAACGCATTATGGACTCAATAAATGTCTGCTGAATGAATCACGAAGGTTAGGAATAGGGTGAATACGAATCTTATCTCTGTTCTTATCGTTATAGTCATAGATTGAAATATGAACAATTTTAAAGACCTGAGTGTCTCACTAAAAACACAGGCAGTATCTTCATTCTTTTACACCACTAGCCTTCCTGCGTTAAGACCTCACACAAGTTTCAGGGTGTTCAAAAGAAAAAGAAACAACAACAACAAAAAACCCTTGTGGTTGAACTGAAACATGGGTCAGAACATGATGGGCTAGAACTAGGCCAAATGTTTAAAGAAGCAAATTTAGGATAATAAAGGAAGTACTATGTAAGCAAAGTAAGGGTTGATGCAAGATAAAAAACAAAATCACTTCCTACATGGTCTAGGTAAATTCAGAACGCTCTAATGAATTGTTTAAAGATGCAAGTACATTTTTTGAATAGTTGACTGTTTAGGTGCTGGGTATCAAGGAATTGTGCCTCTTTTTGTTCTACAAATTCCTTGCCACTGTTTTCAGGGACAACATTTACTAGATCATAAGCCTGACAGAGAGTAATACTTTTTCTCAGTTGCAGTGGAATGGGTATAAATGATAGTAAATCTAAACAGTCTTCAAAAATAATAAATTTAAGGAGGTTATTTTTGCTCTATAGAAATATGTTAAATAAAAATAGTCACAATACAATGTATTTACATAATGTAAACTATGTATTTTATACAATGTGTTGCATAAAAATAATCACCTTGACTTCCAATAACAAGTATCTAAAAGGCATTAAAAACTATTAACTCTATAAATAAAAAACTACATAAGTAAAAAATGAGACCCTTGTATTGGAAATCATTTTGAGTGAGTATGCAGCCATTTTTAGTCTCAAAAGATTACATAGTATTCTTTAGTATAATATATAATACAGTACAGAAATTCTGTAATGTTTCTACTGCATCAATATTATATAGGTTTCTTATATTTTATAGGGAAAATGTTCTATTAAACTATAATTATTGATTTTGAAAAAATGTTTTATTAAGTTCCTTTTCCTGTTTCATTTTTACCACTTTTCAGGTTTTTTTCTTTCCCCCAAGTGAAGATCTGAGGAGAGGACAGGTATTGTTACATGTCAACTGTGACACATTGCTGAACACTTCATTGTTTTCAGTGATTGTGATATGGCAGGGTTTTTGCTTTTTTTTTTTTTTTTTAATCTAGGAAAGTGCATTATTTTGGCAGCTTGATCCTGTACTACTGGGGTAAACCAAAATGTTAAACTTCCTGTTCTCATTTAAATTTTAAGAAAAAGATAAAAATTTTTATCTCAAGTATAACCAGACCTCTTTTTTCTTTAGTACGTTTCTGGAAATCACGTTAAGTATATTTTATTTCATATAAGAAGAATGGCATAATAAAGATGTGCACTCCTGACGAAGGACTTGACATTTGATTAATTATGAAAAGAGTAAAAAAATACATACCAAATCATTTACCCAGAGGTCTGAATTGTAGAATTAAGATTTTTTTTTAATTTTATCATCCACTAAAATAAATCATACCTTTGTCACAGTTAACAAGATTTGCTCTATACTTCCATGGTTAGGGGCATGTGATCTGTCAGGCTGCAAATGATAGGTGAGATCAGAGTGATTCAGTTCACCCAGTGCAGATTAAATGGTTTAGACCCAGTAGTTCAGATTATAATGAAGGTTAGTGGTCTCCCTAAGTAATGCATAAGTATAATAAGTGCTCAGCTGTTTGTGTATTTTGGTGGATAACAAGTTTTAAAGCATTGCAATAGAGTTGTGTACACACAGGCACACACTCACCATTTCCCTAATTCACATAATAGAAAAAAAATGAGTGACTGCATTTTTTTTTTTGGCAGTACTGGGGTTTGAACTCAGGGCTTCCTATCATTTGAGCCATACACTCAGCCCAAGTAATTATATTTCAATACCTAGCATTAGATGTCCTCCTCTTTCCACCCATAACTAAGTTTCCACAGGTAACTTAGTTACCTGTGTCATTTATCTGGAACAAATAATAGACCACAGATACTCTGATTTATCTGTTTAATACTAAAAAACATTAAATGCAAAGGAAAAGCAAACCATAACTCTTACTCATTAAGTAAAATGTGCCAATATTTGACAAAAGAAACAAATATATACATATTAGAAAACAAGTTCGGAAGAAAATAAACCCCTATAATCATTTATTGCATTTGGCCTATTTTAAGTGAATATAGTAGTTATTTTTAAGTATTTCAGTTTTACTTATCTCCTTAACATTAGAAAGAACTTTGTAGGATAATTTGGATTAATGTCAAAGTATTAAAGAACTATAAGCTTTGAAGCCATAAAGACCTGTGTTTGAGTTCTGGCTGTTCACTTAACTTTGTAACCTTATGCAAGTTATTTCTTGTCTCTTTAAAATAGAGATGAAATAATATCTATTTCATAGAGTTGTGAGAATTAAGTGAAACAATAATGTACATAGAACACTTGTACACATGATCTAAATGTTGAATAAATAAGTCTTACAATGAATCACTTCTTTTAAAGAACTATCTAAGAAAGTTCTTTGTTTTTTCTCTAGGATATTTTTTTCCAGAATCAAGCAGAGTGATTAAAATGATTTATTTGGTTGATCTGTTTAATCAGAATCATTGTAGAATCTGAATATACTTGCAAGGGTAAGGTGAACAGAAGTTTCTTGATCTACCCTTTATATGTTGTTCCTTTCCCAATACTGTCATTAAAAGGGGAAAAATAAATATTCCTTGTGAAGAATATTTAAGGAAGAAGGAGAAGTGTGTTCACATTTTAACATTGCTCAAATTGGAAGATGTCTTGCAATCTGTGGCATGTCATAGTTTAATTAGCACTGTTTTTTTCCTTAGTGATATTTTACACATGATGGTGTCTTAAATCAATGAAATATGGTACACCCTGTATATCAACCTGTGTCTGTGAAGATATGGCTAAAGTTAATATACAGCACCAATAGGTAGAATTTTCATTTTTTCTAAAAAACAAAAATCAAAACAAAATATGCACACCTTTATATGTTAGGGGCAGTCAGTTCTGTTTATTTCATTTTTAAGGAAGTAAACTAATATAACTCCCTGTTGCTATAAATACGTATTTATTTTGGTTATTTGAATATGCCACGAATAACTGGGGTTATCGGTCTAGAAATGTGATAATTTTGATTTTGTCTGTTGGTATTGGTACTTAAGAAACATTAAATACTACATAATATTTTTCAAATAGAGAAGTCTCTGGAGATGTGATATTAAAAGATGTATCTGTGCCCTGACAATTACTTCCCCTCCAAAAAAACCAAGAGAGCATGACATAATCAAATAAGTTTGGGAAATATGGAGTTAAACAAGATTTAAGTAATGTCCTTACTGCATATCTTCTTAGTACTTTTAAGATGATACTGTACACAGCAAATCTGCAAAATGGAGCCCACAGCATTTGAGACTTCTGTGTCAGAACCCCTTCTTCATGAACCATTTACTGACAATCTCAAAAGGACATAAGTACTTTACAGAATACAACTTTGAGAACTCCAATAACTATAATAATAGATAACTTGATCTATTACCTGGAAATGAGCTATTATGTTTAATTGACTATGTTGATGCTTCTTGCTTTAACCACCAAGAGTTTTCATTTCATTTTGAAGTGGAATCTTTCTAAATACGATTGTACAATACTTTCCAACTTAATTAGTGAACTAAAAATTTAAATATAATTTAAGAATTTTAAATAATTTAAACTTTTTAATTTAGTTTTCTGATATTTATTGGCCATATTCTTTAATAACAAGCTAATTACTTCTAAATGGCCCCTACATTGACTTGCTGTGTTATGTCTAATATTCATAGTTTTAAAAAAATTCTCTTATACCATTTTATTCTGTCAGTCTGCCTACCTCTACCATTCTCTTTTTTTTTAAATTAATTGTTTATTACTTAACAGGTACTAGAGAACAGATAGCTAGGACTTAATAATAATTTGATACAGCCATTTTTATCTTCTGAATATTTGGCCTCATGTTTAAAAAAATTTCACCAAATAATATAAAATAGTGTCTTAACCCTTTTATTAGTCTCTGCTCATCATGTATACACACCTCTGGGGCCAGGAGTATTTATTGGGCACATCACCTAACAATTGGTGATTTTATATTTTGACAGATGATAAAAGAATGGCTCAATTACTGGCATTAGCTGCTCTGCATATATACCTTCCTCTCTTGAATATGACCTAGAAAGTGAATGTGAATTAACTAAAGAACAGGGAGCTGCAAGATGGAATTCTAGCCTACTGCCCCACCTGGAGTTAGTTTTCTACATTGTGACTTGGTTTTTTGTTGTTGTTGTTGCTCTCATGAAATAGTGCTAGTTTCCTCAATTATTAGGTATCCTATGTGTGGATATAAATCCAAAAGCACCTTTAGATTTCTTGTCATTCTATAGTATAAATAGAATCAAAGCCATAGTACATTAAATGGAATTTCCCCACTTGAACTAACATACCCATACTCTCTTACACACTTTAAAAACTAGTTATGTTTTGTCCACCATATACATTGATTTTTATATCATCTTACATATGATTTATCTTTAAATCTGACCTGGTCATCTGGATTTATGTGAGCTTAGCTCTAATCCTTTGGTCTACAAAGCTTGTTATAGAAAACTTAGTTCAGTCATTTGATATGTGTTAGAAGCAGATGTCAAATGATAGCCTGAAGCAAAAGATCATTTTGACATTAACAGATTGAACTGCATCTCGTGTGCAGTAGTTGGAGAGAAATCTTCTAGAAATCTTGTAAAACCTATAGTAAAATCCTCAGCTACCTAAAATGTTATTTCAGTTCTTTACATTTAGGAGGAGAGGCAGCTACCTGAAAACAATATAAAATAATAATTTACTTTTAAAAGCTGGATGAGTGATGTTTAGTACAATATTAATTAGTAGTAGATTCTTGAGCATTTGAAATGTGGCCAGTGTGACTGAAGAACTGAAATTTTTTTCATTCTGGGCGTGGAATCCAGGACCTCAAGTATGCTAGGCAAGTACTTTACCACTCAACCAAGTTCCCAGCCCTGAAATTTTAGTTTAAGTTGAATTTAAATAGTCACCAGTGGCTATTTGATGTCATATTGAATAGGGTAATCCTACATTGTAGAATTTGTATAAGTTGAAAGCCCCCCCGCTTTTTTTTTTTTAACCTATACTGGTGTTTTTTCAATTCTACTTTACATTTGTATTTTGAAATGAATAGGCTAAAGCTTGATACACTTTTTCAAATGTGTCTTATCTCTTTCCTACCCTGAAGTTTTTGATAAACCCTTTTAGATGGTGGTACACACCCCACAAATAACCATCCTGTTCTTTCTGCTTTACTGGTTTTCCAGTGGTATGTCTTATTCAATTGATGACCCTGAAGCATAGGGGGAATTTAGTTATCAAAAACTGTTGCAAGTATAGGGTCAGGCATAGTGGCTCATGCCTGTAATACCAGCTACTTGAGAGATGGAGATCAGGAAGATCACAGTTTGAGGCCAGCCAGGACAAAAAGTTATGGAGACTCCATCTCAACACACAAGCCAGGTATAGTGTTTCACATCCATGATCTCAGCTATGTAGGAGACATAGCTAGGGGGATCGTGTTTCAAGTCTGGCCTCAAACAGCATAAGACTTTATCTGAAAAATAAAAAACAAAAAGAGCTGGGGGTTTGATTCAAGTGGTATGGTGCTTAGATCCCGTGAGTTCAAACCCCCGTATCCCCAAAACATTTTTAAATTTGCAATTATAAGCTTCCTTTTGTGGTCTAAGCTTGTGAATAGAGATCTAAAGTAACAAGAATAATGTCTCAGGGTAGAAAAATACATAATTTTCTTCTATGTTATTGGATTAAAAAATTACTGCAAGATAATTTTTTTTAATGTTGCATTCTGTTCACTAATATGCTAATTAAAAACTGTAAAAGTAGGTTTATATATCTTAGAATATGAAAGTGTTTAAAAATTTTTTTAGCATACAGTTTTAGAACCAAGAACAATTTAGCCCTATTTATTTATTTATTTATTTATTTATTTATTTATTTATTTATTGTGTTGGTGGTGTTAGATTTGAACTTAGGGTCTTGCACTTGCTAGGCAGACACTCCTTCACTTGAGCTATGCCCTCAGCCCATGGTTGGTTGGTTTTGAAACAGGGTCTTTTTTTTTTTTTGAACAGGGTCTTGTTAATGTAGCTCAGGATATCCTTGAGCTTGCTGTGTAGCCAGGGCTGCCCTTGAACTCACAATCCTCCTGCCTCAGTCTCTGAAGTGTTGGGATGACAGAAAATTTAGTAAAATCAGTATTACTCTCCAAATACAGTGTGTCTTGAGAAAATCCATTTGACATTATATAGAGAAATGCTCTGCTATTGCTAAACAGCTGTCTTAAAAGTGAAACAAAATGTCTTATTTTAAGAAAAAAGGAGAGGCTGCATAGACATTACTTAACAGTGCTCCTTGCACAAGCTCTTAGGTGTATGTTTAAGTAAATGTGCTCTGTTATTTGCACCTTATTAAAATATTTCCTGTTTGTACTTGCATCCCCTTTTCACAAAAATCTATTTGAAGCTGGGTATGGTGGCTCACACCTATAATCCTAGCTATTAGGGAGGCAGAAATCACGAGGATTGTGGTTTGAGGCCAACCTGGGCAAAAAGTTAGCCCCCATCTCAATCAATATTTTGGAGTGGTGTAGCGTGCCTGTAATCCCAGCTGTGTGGGAAACATAAATAGAAGGATCACAGTCCAGGCAAAAGTGTGAGCCCTTATCTCAAAAGCAAACCAAAAAGGGCTGAGGGGGCTGGCAGAGTGACTCAAGTGGTAGAGTGGTTCCCTAGCAAGTGTGAGGTCCTGAGTTCAAACCTCAGTACCACAAAAAGTGGGGGGGAGCTGTGGGTGTGATTCAAGTGGTAGAGCACCCGCCTACCAAGCTCGAAACCCTGAGTTCAAATGCCGGTACCACCAAAAGTAAAATTTATCTGATATACTCCTTCAAAGTGCCAGAAAACAGGATCTAGCTCATCTCAAAAACAATTGTCTTGCTATAGTAAAAGAAAAGGAAATTTAAAAGTTACATAGTCATTGGATTTTTTTCTTTAGACTTTTAAGCTGTTAGGTCAAATAGCTCTAATTTTTAAGTTGAAATATAATTTATATACTATAAAATTCACCCTTATAAAGTGTACAATTCATTGGTATTTAATATATTCAGAGAATTGTGCAACCATCACCGCTATCTAATTCTAGGACATTTCCATTACCCCAAGAAGAAATGCTGTACTTTTTAGCAGTCACTCCCTGTTTCCCCCTTCTCCCAGTCTCTGGCAACCACTAATCTTCTTTCTACCTCTGTAGATTTGCGTATTCTGGACATTTCATACTAATGGAATCCTGCAATATGTGGCCTTTGTCTCTGGTGTCTTTTGCCATGATGTATTTAAGGCTCTTCTGTGCTATCAACATGTATTAATGCTTAATTCTTTTTATAGCTAATAATACATTCTATGGATATGCTGCATTTTTGTTTATCCTTTTCTTGGTTGATTGATTTTGAGTTGTTTCTATTTTTTTACTATTATGAATAATGCTAACATGAACATTTGAGTACAAGTTTTTGTATGTTCATGTTTTCAATTCTTTCTTGTACCTAGGAATGGAATTGCTTAGTTATGTTTAATATTTTGAGAAACTGCCATATTTTTCCAACTTAACTGTAGCATTTTCCATTCCTACTAGCAGTGTATGCGAGTCCCAGTTTTTCCACCTCATCCCCAACATGTGTTGCTTTTTCTTTTTACTGTAGTCATTCTAGTGGGTATGAAGTGGTATCTCGTTGTTTTGATTTGCATTTCCCTAATGACTGTGATGTTAAGAATCTTTTCATGTGTTTACTGTCCATTCGTATACATAATTCTTGTATTTAATTTGTTAGTGATTTGGGAACTTAGATGGAGTTTTCTTCTAATAGTGATATTAGAAATTCCTTTATATGTGTATTTCTTCTCAGAAAACTTAAGTTTGATATGTATTTTTAAAGATTTTTTCATTTTTAGATGTGATACAGAGCTTTTCCTAGAACAGTGGTCTTTCAGCAGGTACATAGAGCCCTGGGTTCTATGAATGTGCCTTAGAATGCCTCATCACGAGGGGTACCTCTTCTCTCAGCCAGAGTAGTGTTCCCAGAGGAAAATATAGAGTTAAAGATTAGTTATAGGCAGGAAGCAAAGATGGAGGTAGTAATGGAGTCTCCTCAGCCTTGTTATTATTATTCTGTAGTTTATTAAATAAAAAAATAGTAATTTATTGAAAATCGAAACAACAGATCTAAAGTCTGTGAAATTAAATGTAAATCAATGTAATTGAATTATTTTTAAGAATCCATCTCAAAGTGGGATAGATAAACAGGTGTTTTGTTTGAAGAAGTAAGTGTGCAAACAAGATTCCACTTGCCTTCTTTCCTTCAAGTTCCTGGTGGCTACTGGTAAAACTCAAGAGGAATAACTCACAATGGATTTTGATATCAATGAAGGACATTGCTTAAAGAGAGAAATGTCATAAGCAAGTTAAAAGTAAGATTTGCCTTGAATTAATAAAGAGGAACTTACAAA